AAGAGATATGTAACAGTCCCCTGGTGAAATAATATAGCTGATTCAACACTGTCAACTTCAGGAGATTTCCAACATAATAATTTCAACTCATATAAATTTCAAAATAGATATTCCAGGGGAAGTATATTATTGCTTCATATTATCAATATAGGCATATGTCCTATAAAAAGTGAAAGATATTGAGCACAACTTCACCATCCCCTTGAAAAATAGAGTTTACCTGTATACCTACCAAAAAATGAATATGTTCAGGGAAAATAATTATACAAAGCAGTAAAAATGAAGTTTGATGAAATGGTATTACTAAAGATACAGAAACAATACTATTTTTCTTATGTCCATAATAGCTTCATCAATGGTTTTAAAAACTATATATAGACTTCTTACATCCTAAGATAACTGATCCAGTACCTGTGGAGGGTTATTATTTCCTAAGTCCCTGCCAAAGTTTGGTAAGAATACCTACCATGATAGTGAGTAACAAATGAACCATGATTTAACACACATTGATGTTTTCTGTGTTGATGACCCTATGATACAGAAGACACACAGGAAACTTACCATGTGGGGGCTTCTCTATAATACCTGACGATCTCACAGAGAGACTATAGTGCTTTCCATTATTAAACTACATTTGGTTGATCAAATGTTCACTAATCTAGAGTTAACTGTATGAAACTTTTGGCTCCTGATGTTTAAGGACAATAACTCGTTTTCTGGAGAACATCCTATGAGCTAGATATTATGCTAGGGCCTTTTAAAGGCATACATATGATTGAAACACTTGTGAAGCTCTCAGTTCAGTGGGACAGTAGTCAAACAAGACAGTATTTGAATTAGATACATGCTGTAAAAGAAGGATAAACTATGAGACAGGAAGTTAGGGTCTTTCCCTCCTACAGCCATGTATATGCAATCTTGCTTTTATAGCAAGGAGGGTACACTTTTAAAAATAAATAGAGAAGTTCTTCAAAAATTTCTAGTGTTAGTGTCTGAAGAGCACATGTACCTGAAATATATATGATTAGGGCTTGTAAATCTTATAAAATGATCTTTAGTTCTTTGAACTATTTATAATAACAGATTAAAGTCTTTGTCTATTAAGCCAACATCAATGTAGGTTCTGCTGTTTTCCTGTGTATGAGCATATCTTTGCATATTCTCATAATTTTGTTGTTGATAAAAACTGGACATTTGAAATAATGTAATGTAGCAACTCTAGAAATCAGATATCCCCTATCCCCCAGGAATAATTGTTGTTGTTGCTATTTCTTTGTTTGGAAAATTTCATGTACTAATTTCTCTGTATTAATTCTGCAAAGTCTGTTTTTCTTATAATATGTAGCCACTGAAGTCTTTGCTAGATTAGCTCAGTGGTCAGCTAATGATTAGAAAGAGATTCCCTTAAAAACTTTGAACCAGATTATCATTTGCCAAGGCCCTCTATGTGTTGAGGTACACTTTCAACACTGACAGTTTACAACTCTACCTTAGACTTCAATTTCTGCATACATAAAATCAAAGCAAGCCAGAGGAGAGATATTAGGTCCTCTCAGGTCGTTCCTGGGTAAGTGTGTGACTTTGTGCATTTGTGTCACCTTCAAGAGCTCCAGGAATATTTTTTTAAAAAATCAGAGCTTTTCGAAATCATCTTTGGCAATCACATTTCCCAGATTTCTCTTTTAAATATTTTGGCCAGCCTTTTGTTTGGCCCAACTTGTATTTTTGTCCCAACCAGCTGAGAAGTCAAACAATTATCACTTATGGTTTCTGACAAACATGCTGAGAATAGGCTTTTCCCATTGAGCAAGCTCTGAGTCAGGTCAGATAACAAGTCCTTCCAATGCGGACTGCTCAGTGAGCTGCCGGTCAGGCCAAACAGTAACAATTCTCTGGAGATGGAGTTTTGGGGGAGCTCCAAACCTGGGTTGGCCCTTCCAGTGGCTTCTACATTGCTGGTTTTCACAGCTACCTTGGTTGTGAGGCAGCCAGTTTTTAAAGCTACCATAGACCTTAAGAGAACAGATGGATTGGAAATAAGGCAAGTTAAAACTCTACAAAGCTTGCTGTTCTTACTGAGATTTAACTATTTTTCTTAAATAAATACTCCTTGAGTTGTTGGAGATTTTGGTTAATATCCAGATTTCTGAATAAGTTGCTTTTGATAATTTTTGCTAGTATTCTCACCACCATTATGGAGAAGCTAATTTGTAAAAGTGCTGAGTCTGCCATTTTAGAAGTCCTGCTTGGACTCTCCCTCTCAAACAACATCAGTGTTTTCTTAATTTCTTTTCAGTACATTAAATTTATAAATTTAAAAATTTAACCTATCTGAAACTCATTTTAGTAATCAGAGTTCAGAAGGAAATGGACAGCCAGTTGCAATTATATTTAATCTTTTCTGGATTAATTAGTAAGATACTTTTGAGAATCTAATAAAAGTTATGGACTATCTCTGCAGAAAAATCTGCAGATATACAGGTTTGCATAAATTCAGTAAATTCACAGCTCTAGGCCCCCTTCAATGGAACCCAGATAAAACACTTGATTTGTTAAGGTAACTTATTTTATCTAATTTGTAACAATATCTTTATGGATTTATAAATTTCGGAAAAATTTCATGGCTCTTTCCATATTCTGTCCAATTCCATTGGTCTGCTTGTATGTCTACATCTATAACAATACTATAGACTTTTAGCTATACCAAGCACCTTTCTGCTTCAGAGCCTTTGCTATTCCCCCAGCCGTTCATAAGGTAAACTCCTCATTTCAATGCAGGCCTCAGCTCAACTGCTACCACTTTAGAGAGTCCTTACCTGACTACCTTATTTATGTATTGGTTCCTTCACTCTCTAGCCCCTTATTTCATTGTTCTTCATGACACTGATCACTACTTCACATTTTATTATACCTTTAATAGTTTTCTGTTTTATTCACAAGACAGCAGAAATTTTTTTCACTACTGTATCCCCAGAAACAAGTACAGTCCCTGAAACAAAACAGGCAGTCTTTTCAATTATTAATGTAAAACACCAAAAAGTTTGACCATGGCAATTTATTTGCTTATCCTGCTGGGCTAAATAAATAAAAGATATATAAGCTAATCTGGCTCACAAGAAAAGTAATTTGTCGATTTTCTATAATTATTTTCTATAATAGGTCTATTAAGCTTTCAGGGACTAATGGAACAACAGTTGTTTGTTAGTTTTTACTACAACCATGTGAAAATGAAAGCAGTGAACTGTATAAGGAAGACTTGTAATACATTTAATACTACCATCGCATTTTTGAAAACCTGAGAGTTACCTGACAACGTTGTTTTCTCTGCTAGATGTTCTCTGTTCAACTTGGTCAGCCACAAAACAATAATAATTAAAAAAAAAAACTTCTCTCCCTCTCCTTCTCTCTCTCTCCCTCTGCTTCTCTCTCTCTCCTGCTTCTCTCTCTCTCCTTCTTTCTTTCTCTCTCTCTCTCTCTCTCTCTCTCTCACTCTCTCACTCTCTCTCTCTTCCCCCTCCCTCTGACTTCTCCCTTCCCACTGCCCAAACTATGCAACTATTGGTAAGAAAGCAAACAAAATGTATTTATTCATGACATGATTATATTATCTTCATAGTACTCTGAGACTAGAGAGAACAAATTTTAAAGTATATCATATATTGTAGTGTTTTTTATAGACAAGAATGTTTCTGACAAACTGGCAGAGAAGGGCGCTCTTTAAGATATATATTTTTCTCTTTGGGTGATGAATATGTGCTGATTTACTCAGGCCATCTTGCCTAACTTAATGGTGACTAAGCCCATATCTATGTGAGATTAAAGGAATGGTCTGTAGTCACTAAAACATTTTAAGCAACCTCTCCCGTATCAGGATTTAATGAATGAACTTGACCTTCCTGGCATGGAATTCCAATCAACTGAACTGAGAGACAATTAAGCATCTTAAAAACCATAGGTACTCAATATATATTTGTTGATACTAACAGTAAGTTACAGAAAGAATTAGAAAGTAATCATTACTCTAATGGAAAAAAAGTAAGAAAAAAAGAGGTAAGATCTGTTACTGTACTAGTTATCTTACCATAAAAGCTTCTTACAGATCTGTTTAATTTTTACAGTAAATGAGTAACTGTGCTCTTAAGAATAAACTTAAGTGACAAATTTTGAAAATGTATTACATTTATCCTGGATATTAGAAGGATTGAGTCAAAGCTTCAGTACGATTAATTTGTAAGTCATAAGAAAATATCCTAGGTTATTTATTCTCAAAAGATAGTCATTTTAGCTATATTTATAATGCATGGTTGAATAAATAATGGTAGTAATGTCACACTTTGATCGCATAAAAGAAAAGATTTCTACGAATGTTATTTTTTGCTTTTTATATTTGTTTAAGGAAAGATTTATTCAGGTATCTTCTTGCCTATATAAAGAAAAGACTAAATACAAGTAAAATAAAACCATGTAAATTCAATTATTTAAAAAAACTAATAAAGTTTTTAATTCTTCCTATAAGTAATCAAAAGTTATATTGTATGTAGGCCACATTTGTTGATATGTATATATCTCTTATGAAACCATAGGAATTATTTGAGAGGTTCTATTAATTACTACTGTGAACTACAGGTATATAGATATACAAATCAGACATAAATTAATTGAATCAAATTGTTTTCTACGCATGCATATTATTTTGTATTATGTGTGCATGTGTGTGTTTACAAAAAAGAAAAAATATATTAAACAGGAGGCTTAATGTAATTGTAATGACTAAACAAATTTGGATTCTGACTTTTCTGAAAATAGAGTAAAAATTATAAGTATCGGAAAGTAAAAATACATATATATTAACAATTATTTGTTTCAAGTATTAATATCAATGGCAAAATAATTAAATACTGATATGTCCGCTAAGGTGATTTTAAGTAAGATAAAATAATAGTAAGGATATTTCATTTTGAGAAAAATGAAAATATTTACAAAGAGTTAATTTTACTAACCTGACTAATTTTTCTTTGTTCTTGTATAGCTTTTTGAATTGCCTGAGATATTTTTTCTTGATCTTTTGCATGCTCAGTCTTCCATAACTCCCTTTCTTCAGCATGAGCTTTTTCCAAATTTTTTCTTTCTTCTTCTATGGCTTTTAATACTGCATCCTTCATTGCTTCTTTCTCAAGCTTCAAAAAAATAATGGCCAAAAGAAAAATATTTGAAAGGATAACTGCACAATAATTCTTTGAGTAAAACAGGCTTGAATTAATCTAAAAAACACAAAACTTTGATTCTATAGGGTTTAACTCTGATGTTTTTATGCATTTTAATAATCACCATAAAATAAAATCAATTATTTGTTTTTGTAAATAATATACTTATTTTTATGGCATTTCTAAATTTCAAAGAAATCAAACCTTAGCTTAAAGTAGCAGCTGTCAAACTATTTGGTCTTAAGATTTCCTTACACTGTTAAAAATTATTGAGGATTTCAAAAAGCTTTTGTTTATATCGCTTATACGTATAGATTAAAATTTATCATATTAGAAATTCAAATCAAGACAAAATTAAAATATTTATTAATTCATTTAAAACTAATAACAGTAAATGCATTATATATTAACAAGCATTATATTGAATGAAAAATAACTATATTTTCCAAAATTAAAAAGTGAGAAGTATGTTGTAAACCTTCTTAATATCTGACATAATAGAAGACAACTAGATACTCATATCTGCCTTCTGTATTAAATATGTAATGATATTATTTGGTTGAAGTATATTAAGAAAAAAAACAACTCAGTCTCACACAGATAGGTAGTAGAGAAGGGAGGAGTATTTAGTAGCCAGTTGAGATCACTATAGATATTTCTTGATGATTCCCCACCAAAGCTTCACAAGAAGTAGTTCTTAAAAGTTAGTTGCAATAAGGAAAATCAAATCATCTCAATGCAATTTGTTACTCTATTCCATTACAATCCTTTCTTGTACTTTGAATGAATCCTTTATCTATACATGATTTTTAAAAACATTTTTTTATTTGGAAAACATTGGTTCAATGAGTTATGCATCTCCTCTAGATTTTGACATTTTTCATTATATCATTAAAAAAAGGTCACATTTGTTTGTAACAGCATCAATCTCATCAGAAATGTCTTAAGTATTAAAAATCAGATACAAATTTTCCAAAATTCTAATTTTTGCTTTAAAGCATGAATTTTATCATTAGCAACGAAAATTGTCAGTTTTTTCTTAAAGTTACTGGGCTCACTCCTCTTATTTTGGAGAAAATGTCTGCCAAATATTAAAGTCTCTATAACCCTAGTTATTCAGTAAAATGGAGTGCCATAAAAATAGTTCCTACACTTCAGTTTCAACTCAAATAACTGCATAAGAATTTTCCTCAAGGAAACCATCGTACTTTGGTATGCACTAAAGTCCCTTCTTCATCCCCAGGGTTACCACTTTTTCTATTGCTTCCAGGTCACAATCAATTTGACAAATGTTATTGAAGCTGACAGTTACCATTTTCTGAACTCTTATTTTATTTTACCATTCTTCTTTTAAACTACTCTTACTATGCTCACCAATGCCTTCCATGTTGTTTAATCCAAATGATACTTTTTGTTGTTTTAACGCTTATTTTTGTTGGCCTCAAAGCAACATTCAACATAGTTGCCTATTTCTGTTTTCTTGTTAAAAAGTCCTATGACATGGAAATACTATCTATACACTCATAATAATTTAATGTATTCCTCCTTGCCTTATTGGTATATAAGTAATATTTTTCTTACCTAACTGTAAATTATTTCAGAAAAAGATGAAATCATAGTCATCTTTGAATTTCTACCCTGGTATAGTTATTTGCACACATGAGATTTTCGATATTTATTTATTAAATTTAAATTGACATCCGAACCTCAAAAGTTAGTACTATATATGTATTTGTTGGTATATACATTTAATATCTATGAATCACTACTCACATGAGCTATTTCAAAGTCAGTTTTTAAAAATCACATATCTTGATAATTAAATATACATGCAAATACATATATACACATACATATACACGTACCCCATGCACACGTACCCCAACATACATATTACTCGTATGATGCCTATCAAATATCAAATGGATATTAGTGTCCATATATATATATATATATATATACACACACACACACACGTATATATATACACATATATATATATATTCTTCTTAAAATTCTTTTTAAACAATTACAATTCTAAATGTAAAGCATTTCAACTCCTGATAATCTTGTGTAATGTGAATTTAACAATAATATGAACAATGGTAGCCTAAGTTTAAGAGGAAAAATAAGAAAGAAAAACATTCTTTTTTTATTTTTCTGGAATGAAATATTTTACAAAAGTAGATTGGTTGTACCATTAATGAACTCAATTTTTAAATTCCACTTACATACAAAGAAACCAATTATTACAAATGGGTTTATACCAGGCAAATAATTAGACTTTCAAATGATAAATACAATTCTTACATGAGACCAAAAATATTCAATTTAGGCTTTGAGGTGAGGATAAACAATAAAAATACAACAGATAAAAATTATCTAAATTAAACTACAGAATAAACTTTTCAGATGGAAATACCTTTGCAGCAGATACTAATGCCTCCTTATTTCTTTGCCTTTCTTCTTCCAAACACTTCTCCAATATTTCCTATAAATAATAAGACATACACTAAATGTATTATATGAAGTAACAGGATACATTATTTCCACACATTGAGCAAACATAAAGCATTACCTTCTGTTCTTGAGATTGCTGAATCAAAGCTTCCTTTATTTTTTCTTTTAACAAATCCTTCTCTGTATCCAGCATTTCAAGGAGTCTCTGATGCTACAAGGAAAGATAAATGGATTATAATTATACTTTGAGACCTATAATGTATCAACAAGGAGCACAGCTGGTGGAATTCATTTGTCCAAAAATATTGAAGTGGTTAATAGAGGAAACAATGGGAAGTTTGCTAAAATGAAGGGATAGGAGCCAAAAACACTGAATTCACCTTTCTCCAATCAGCCAACATAACATTTTTTACCCATAAAACTCAACAACGTACACGACATGAGACTCAAGAACAACTTTTTTAAATTGGAAAGTGAATCATAAATTGATAAAATTTCTTTTCCCAAAATTCACTTTGAAAAAATTACTAAAATTATTATTAGCTTGTAGCAAAAGAGCAATCAGATAATAATTGATGTTTGCTTCATGAACAACTACCTTAACAGATTCTTTGTCTTTCTAACAAAACTGTTATAGAAATTGAAAGATGATTGTTCTTACCCCAAGATTTTACTACAGATTCAAAAAATGAATTTATAAAAACCATCAAAGGAATATTGTACGATAGCTAATGTTAAAGAATATAGAATGCTCATATTTGCTTTTATTCCAATATCCTAGTGAAAAAACACACAGATCCATCAGCCCGTTACATGAACTAGGCACTTGAATTTTGAATGGAGTTTTCTAAGTAAATTTTACTTTTATAGCTTCAATATCTTCAATGTAGATGAGGCAGATATTTGTTCTGGAATAGTTTTTTTTGTTTTTTGTTTTTTGTTTTTTTTTAATAGGGAAATAGAACTAAAAAGAAAATATATATTCCTTACATAGATTTCTGTTATAAAGGCAAAAAAATATTTTCTCAGATTTAGAATGCTATTTATATAGAAGCTTCCTTTAAATATAAACTTATTCTGATACCCAACATTTAAAAACAGATCTATGTCTTTCAAAGTTGTTCTTATTTAAAACATTTTTTTAGGGAGGAAGTCTACATTTAGAGTAAGTGACCAAACAGTCATGTCTAGTAAAGATTTCAAGAAAATAAGAAAAATCACAAGAAAGATGTATATTTTCTTTAATAACAAATCCAAACTGTGATACAAATCAGGACGATTATGAGAAATTATTGGTAACATGTGAATTGGTGAAAGATAGTTGACTAACAAATCAGTAGACCCAGCATATGATATATAATAATAACTGAGACTTTAATTCTATGTAAGCCTAGATAAATGAAGATTTCATAGAATTAAAAACAATATCTAATCTTATTTAAAACACACACATGAGAAAATATGTAAAGATGTTATACCAGCCAAATAGTTAGATTTAAAAATGACAAATACAATTCTCATATAAGTCCAAAAACATGCAATTTAGGCTTTGAGGTAGAGGTAAACATAACAAAAATAGAACAAGAAAAATTTATTGAAATTAAACTACAAAAAGAGCTGTTAATAAGTCAGTTTAATGAAAATCATTAAGTAATTAATTATTGTTAGGCCAAGTTTCTTCCGTGGTCCAACCAAGAACTAGTCAAAGAGGGTATATAAGCTAAAATGACAATATAATCTTCAGAGAATTCATTCCTACATGTCACTACTTAATTCTGACAGTATACTATAATAGAAGATTATTTTGGGGCGTTCTTGTACAAGAATAAACTCAAAATTACCATTTGAAAGAAGCATCCTACATAAAATGCAATCTATATAAAACCACTGATCTACTTGAGAAAACATAATTAGGTTACTGACTTTTCTGATAGATGATGGATGGATGGATGGATGGATGGATGGATGGATGGATGGATGGATAGATAGATAGATAGATAGATAGATAGATAGATGAATGGGTGGATGAATGGATGGATGGATGGTCAGATAGATAGGGAGATGATAGATGATAGATAGATAGATAGATAGACAGACAGACAGATAGATAGATAGATAAATGATAGATAGACCGACAGAGATAAGAGATAACATTTTTTGAGTACATTAAGGTTTCAAGTACTGTTAAAGTGTTTTACATGTAGGTGTATCACATTAAATCCTCACAACAAAAGCTGCTAAGTCAAGCAATATTCTTCATTTTCAGATGAGTGATCTCAGACTTAGAGAGGCTAAGTAACTTGCCAGGTCTCTAATAAATAACTTCATCAATAATCATATTTGTACACATTATCAGCAGTAGTAATTACCTGTTAGCTAAAAGGAGCCCCAGTATTAACAAGTTATTACCTAGTAACTAAAGCTACTTAATGCAAGTAGTATTATGTCAGGTAAGGCCTCACTTCCATCTGGCTTTAGAGAATTTGATTAATCGATACTTTTGATTTTGTTCTTTTGAAAGTAATATAATTTCTTGAACAAATATCAATTGACATTAGGGGAGATGATTCAGAATAATGCTGAATGGTATGGGAAAAGTTTAAGTCTTAAAATTAAACACAGTCAGTTTCTTTGTGAATAATCCACAGTAGCTAGTCAAGAACCATATCGTTTAGTAAAATATACTGTTTTTGTAAAAGTCACATATGCTTATTATGAAAAATGTAAAAAAGTGAAAATCATCCAGATTCAATTACCCAAAGAAAATCCTTTTAGGCCAACATCTTTCTGTAGAGCTCTTTGTGTACTTAAATATGTGGAATACATAAACATTTTATACAATAGGTTTATATAGTGTTCTGTAATCTTTTTGTACTCAATAATGGTACTCACTTATTTCTGTATAAATATAACTATGCTATTTTTATTAAATTAATTATACATTCTACCCTTGTCCTACCTATACACATTTATTTTGTTTGCAATATTTCACTTCTTAAAAATCTTGATTTTTGTGCATGCATCTTTGTGAACTTGTAGAATTGTAGCCTTACAAAAAATTCTCAAGAGTGGTATTAACAGGTCGAAGATTGAACATGTTTTAAATTTTGATACATACCCTCAAACTGTACTCCAGAAAGAAAAATACCAAATTACACCTTCACTAATAATAACAGGACAATGGACATAGGAAGATTATCCTCTACAGCAGAATCACATGAGCTGGAAGAGCAGCAACCAGAGAAATTTTTTCCACTGTCAGAACACAGAAAGCTTACCCAGCTTGCCCAGCAATATCTGATATATGCTGTGGACCGATTATTGCTGTTCATTTCATCATTCTCTCCTTTCCAAAATGAGAATTTCTGTTATAGACACAGTTGACCCTTGAACAATGCAGGGGTTAGGGGCACCAATCCCCATGCAGTCAAAGGTCCACGTATAATTTTTGACCCCTCCAAAACTTAACTGCTTGTCCCTTGGTACCTGTGGAGAATTGGTTCCATGATTCTGCAAGGATACCAAAATCAATGGATGCTCAAGTCCCTTTTATAAATGGCATAGAACAATGCATGCAGTTGGCCCTCTTGATCCCCAGATTCCTAATTGCAGATGGAAAACATTGTTTTCTTGACTAGTTGAATGCACAGATGTGAAACCCAGCAATACTGAGGGCCAAATGTGTATGTACTGAAAAAGATCCATGTATATATGGACCTGTTCAGTTCAAACCCATTTTGTTCAAGGGTCAACTATATTGTTCCTTCTCTTTTCTTTTTGAATTTATTAATTATAGTTTTTTTGGGGGGAGGGGGCAGGGCAGGAAGGTCCTTCTACTTCATTATCTCTCTTTCTTCAACGTTCCTTTTTATTTGTTTGAGTCAGTAATTTTCTCATTTGAAATGTTTCTCCAATGTTTGATAATCTTTTCCATTCATTCATATTGAAATCCCAAATACAAAATACTGGTATAAAAATCTGTGTATGTGGGTGAGTTTCATAGCAGGCACGAAAAGCTTTTTCATGGTTGTGGTGGGGATTCTCAAATGTTTGGTCTATAAGTATTTTCTCTTTTTTGCATATAAAGAAAAATATTAGTTGCCATTCAAAATTAAAGGTCTTAGAAGAAGCATCCATATACTTTTTTGGAAATAATAATTTTGAAAATATCTCTCATCAAAATAGTGTTACCTTTTATAATCATAACAATTTTATTTTATTGTATATTTATTGTATATTATTAAGTAGTAGACCTTACGATCTGGGCTTTATTCCTGTCACAGAATACCTGAGTCCAGGGGGAAAAGTCAAAGAGTAAAAGCAGTAGTTCTAGACATCCTATTTTGAAACTTTTCAAATTCTTCTATAGGTATGATTTGAACAATACCCTATGACTGTTCACTTTCTATTAGTCTTTTATTTCTTAAAATTGTTTAAATTATAAGTCTTCATGGTAGAAATTCAACTACATATTTTAATATCTTATTTTTATGTTAAATTATCTTAAATGCAAATTTGCCCTTGTATATTCACTTATAAATTATTACACATATTTTCTCTAAATTTATAAATTAATTGTTAATAAATAAATTATTACTTAATTTATAATTATAAATTTTAATTATTAATTTATAAATTAATGCATTTTTTTCAACCATAGGTACAAGAAATATTTGTTTGGTGTCTACCAATGCCGGACACTCTATTAGCTTCTACAGATGCTGCCTTCAGGGACATGAATGTCTAACAGACAATCCATAAAACAAATACAATCTCTTATATTAGACTTGTAGAACTATTTTATAAAATAAATTTTCTTCAATGAATATATTTTTAAGTAGAAAGTACCAAAAATGGTTTGGAAATAAACAACTGGAAATCAGCTTAAAAAATACAATATGGATTTTAAATAAAAAGTTATAATAAAAATATAACTATAAGTGCTTTTAGAGGAACAGACGGCAATAAAACACAAAATAGCCATTATAATTAAAACCCCCCAAAATCCAAATACAATTTTCTTATCTTTCATTTACTAATATTAACTTTTTATAGATAAAATATGTCAATAGTGCAAAACAGATACAGTTAAGACATATAAACATCTTAAGACAGTACCTGTTAAACAGTTAAGAACTTAAATGTTAAATGCTATTATTACACTACTATAACTACTACTTCTATTTCTTTTTTTATTGGGGTAAAATGCAA